TTCCAGGGAAGATTCCGCATCTGCTTGAGGAACAGATAGGGCAAGTGCGAAGGATACAAGGAAGCATGTGGAGACAAGCGTAACAGCACACGTGCCGATACATCCATTACTCTGTCAAAAGCAAAAGTATCCCATATCAGCAGGGTGGAACGTACTCTAGATTTGATGGACTTGTTTTGACCCTCAAATTCTTCAGTCGGCCTTATACTCTGGAGGAAACCAGAAAACCCTCCAGCTCAGTTCAAGAATAAGCCTGTGGAAAGTTACTTCTTCAAAAGCAAAAGTATCTCATATCATCTCTTCTCATTTTTCTTCTCTTTATCCTTCATGCTGCTGCAAGATGGGGAGAAGGTGAACAATCAGTCGGAGCTCTGATTGCTTACCTTGTCTGTCACCTCTTTCAGCAGACCCCCTAGCTCGGCGACTTGGGGGACTCCTACTACATGGTTTGTATCGCGCTTGACCAAGCCTGAAACTACAAGTAAGCTTCAAGTGAAATTGATACATTACCTTGTGCATCTCCACCAGTTAAAGATACCACCCCTGGATGGAGGAAGAGTACTTCCAGAGAAGATGCCACATCTACCTATGAGACAGATAAGGCAAGTCAAGACGACACCACACTCCGATATACTTAGAAGTTTCGTGATTACGAGATCATTCTCCCACAATATTTCCTAATGTCATTTGTAACTAAATCATTCACTTGTACTCACTAAAGGAGAGCTTGAACCTATGTACTTGTGTAAACCCTTCACAATTAATGAGAACTCTTCTATTCCGTGGACGTAGCCAATCTGGGTGAACCACGTACATCTTGTGTTTGCTTTCCTATCTCTATCCATTTATATACTTATCCACACTAATGACCGGAGCAATCTAGCGAAGATCACAAAAAAAGCGACCGTTTTCGCTACCTAGGATCTATCTTGCAAGAGAACGGAGAATTAGATGGAGATCTCAACCATAGAATACGAGCTGGATGGATGAAGTGTAAGAGTGCATCCGGCGTGTTTGTGTGACCGTCGTAGGCCACTGAAGCTCAAGGGAAAATTTTATAGGACGGCAATAAGGCCAGCGATGTTGTATGGCACAGAATGTTGGGCGGTGAAGCATCAACACGTACACAAAATGGGTGTAGCGGAGATGAGGATGCTTCGTGGGATGTGTGGGCACACGAGAAATGATAAGATTGGGAATGAGGATATCCGAGGTAAAGTAGGAGTAGCCGAAATTGTAGGAAAGATGAGAGAAAATCGGCTCCGGTGATTTGGACATGTGCAAAGAAGGCCGACTGACGCTCCGGTTCGAAGATGTGACTACGGGACAGAGGTTCAGGGCCGAAGGGGTAGAGGAAGACCTAGGAAAACTTTGGAAAAGACTCTAAGAAAAGACTTAGAGTACTTGGATCTAACGGAGGACATGACACAAAACCGAGCGCAATGGCGTTCTAGGATTCATATAGCCGACCCCACTTAGTGGGAAAAGGCTTTGTTGTTGTTGTTGTTGTTGTTGTTGTGCATTAAGTTTCACATTTGTAATGAATCCTACCACATTTAAACCTTTCTATATCGCATATATTGTACAAATGTTGTGATTAATGAAATCGAAGTAACAAACATTTACGAAGGAGGAATACAATCAGCCATGTTTGACTGAAAGATTGATAAAGGGTGTTGGGTGTGGTGGCTGGGATAGAAAGAAATATCACCTCATCGAGAGGTGATGGCCTTAGGCGATGGGGAGAAACGATGGCTATATGAGAGGGGGCAGGGGGAATGAATTGTGGCTCTATGGAAGCTTAGATCAAAATGCAATTTTGCTAAATATTTGTTTTGTAATAAGATTCGGGGACCAGTTATTCTGATCAAAACCCAAAAATTAAACACATTGCTTCTTATAATTCAATTTGATTTTCTCCAATATCTAAATTTGTTGCCCTTTTATGCTACAGTACATCGCATTCTTACCGTCGTGTTTTAACATGTCGAGAACCGCAGTTCTAATAACCCTACGTTATATACCTATTTAAAAGGATTTGTCACGGAAAAGGAATTAGCAGTTCCATGTAAATAATCGTGGTCATAAGAGAAAGAATGACAAATAATAAGCTTCACTCATTTTGAACTGGATAATTTGGGGTTTCCATAAAAGCTTCATTTGAATTGTACATGACTTGTTCTCTCTCTTTTTTTTAGCTGTTATTGACACTACCAAAGTCATTATGCACTCTTTTAGTGTTATTTTTCTCTTAAATTTTTCTATGGAAAGGGTGGATGTTAATTATTTTGGAGTGACTATAACAACATCGCTAATCCATTGCATACTTTAGAGGGGTGTATTGTATATAGACTTTGATGGACTTTGTTTAACTCCAAGCCTAAGTATAACTTGAGGCTATTTAGTACTACATTATAGTAGTATTACTCTCCACTTGTAAGTTAGAGGTCTTATATTTGATTCTCACCAAGGAGAATTCGACCCAAATTATATGACTAACCCATTGAGAGGCTTAATCTACTTCCTAACCTCTTATTGTGGATAATAAAAGTATAGTAGTATTTCTCTTTACTTTTAGAAGGACCTTAAATCGCTTGGAGTTCTCGTACGTTCATGGCATTGGTCCGTCCCCTGGCAAATAATTGGCTAGGAAGCAAATGTTAGGATTTGCAGAAGTTGGGGGCATAGGAGAGGGAGAGATTTTTTTGTGAAATTAGACACGGTATGATACACCATATGTCATTATACAACTGGAGAGACACTTGAGAAAAAAAAAGTTCCTCTAATTATATGTTCGGGCAGGAGATCTGGGTCTGGTCCCTCGCACAACTCCCTGAGGAGGTGGCACGTTCTTGCCTGTTAGGCAAGTTCTTGCTGCTTGGTGTGCTGCAATATAAGATGGTAGTTAGTTTAAAAGGTGCCTTTATGGGGCTTTTGGTGTAGGCCTTGAGGCTCGCAAATCAAAGCTAACAAGGGATTGAGCGTGCCACTGTTATCTTTATATTGTAGATTGTTGTATATAAGTGAATTAAGTTGATCACTTGAGCCCTAAGTTACTCAAACTTCTTGGTTATCAAATGGTTGTCATAGATGGGTTAAGTCTGCATTAGGTTCTTTCTCTTGCCTTGTAAACAAGGATTTTTAGTTCACGATCATGTATGCCCAAAACGGAGGGAGTTCAAGGCCCTTTCAACCACTTCCTTAATCAAAGTTTACTTTAATGAAAACTGGTTTTATTAACTTAATTGGATCTAGTTGCAGATGAAACTTTTAAGTAGAAAACAGGTGAAAATGACTTAAATACATAAGGGAACATGCATTAAACGATAGATCTACTACAGATAAGTACAAACAAAAGAGGCTCAGGCAAGATTTAACCTTGTTAGGCAAGGTTGAACTTCTTGCAGCCACTTCTCTTTGTGTTTACAGAGATTCATATGATAAGGTGGATGGAAAGTAAATAGGTTTTACTCGAGGAAATTCATATTACAAACGAAGGGAAGGTAACAAAGCGTTTAAACTAGACCAAAGATGGTTTTTCCTAAGGGAGACAGTTAAAAGTAACTGAGTCTGAACAAGTTTCAGCTTTCTGGGTACGAACTGGCTTGAGAGTAGAGTTTGTATATCTTTTGATTGGTTGGTTGAGTGTGTTTGTCTCTGGTGTCTCTTTCTCCTTTTATAGACAATTTGGCCCGACCCTTCTTTCCTTGCCTTTAACTGATATCTTTTGGAAGGCAGTGAGTTATCATCTATTTACTTGTCAAGCCATTAGAATTTGCTTTTTGGCTGGTGGTGAGTTGGTCTCTGTCACCCATCACTTCAATCATAGGCATGTGGCCTATGCCTTGGCTGAAATGGCTTCAATTTGCTTTGGGCCTATCGACTAGGTTTCGGGTAGGCTTCCATTTGCTTTGGAGTCCTTAGGCTTCATTATCATAAAGCCCAATGTTGAATATTAACCCAAACAGAGCCTACTCGAATTTGCATTAAAACTTTGGTCAAATTGGATCTTTCGTTGTTGAATAAAAAATTTGCGAGTATTGGTTGATGAACTTATCGTAGCATGGAGCAATGAATTTCTTGGGGTAACTTTCTTAAAACTTCTGTCCAAAATAAAAGATTTTATGGGGCAAATAATGAACAAAAGTTTAAAAGACCATTTTATAAGTAGTGATAAGTACAGAGACTATTATCCATTTTTTTTGTCTGAATAATAGATGATTTATTAAAAGATAATACAAAGGGATAGCCAAAAAATGCCAAACCAAAACCCAACGTGAATATTGGAAGTAAAAACTATATCTTACGTAAGATACGCTGTCCGACAGATATCACGGGAAAAACAAACAAAAAGAACCTCTATAAAATAATCTTCCTAAAAAAATCGTATGAGATAAAACTTCGAGATAGGAAAAAGAGTATCACAATCACACAAACTAAAGATAAGTAGTAACCCATAGCCTCTTCCATCCACATTCCACATCCCTGCTTACTATCAGATCCATATCACCTACAAAACAAATAAATAAATAAAACTAGAAATTAAAGGAAGTGGAGATAAGCAGATGTTAGGAGAAAATTAAAAATTCTTCAACTTCTAATTCGTGAACTAAAATTCTTGAGCGAAAATTCAGTGATTAGTGCTTCAATTTTTAAGTAACCCTTGGTTATAATTTAGTTAGCGTAATGCTAGGCCAAAAACTGATAGACTAAATTCAATTTGGTTAAACAAGTGATCATTTACCATAGTGGTGAAAAGATATTGAGTTCTTCTGTTGGTTAAAAGTTTAGTTTCAAAAATTAGTTTATTGGTTTCAAAAATTAGTTTAAGTAGCATATTTATTTAGTTTTTAAAAAAAGTTTTCTGTGGTATGACACGTGGAAGATGCCCATTAGGGGGATTCACGTGCACCAATGGAACGTGATGACTTGTACGCGGGGACACACCATCCTCTCCGTGCACCTGAGATTCCTGGAGAGCCCAGCCTTTTGTATAAAAACTCAACTGACTGTTCCAATCCCATATAATTCATTTCAAAATTCAGAAGAAAAGGGAAAGAAAAGCACCAGGCGGAAATGGATTTGGGAAAAATTTCAAGGGCAAACTCCATGGACGAAGAATTCGAATTCTTGGAAATTGAAGACGGAGAAGAACTCTTGGGTCTCACACACTGGGAATTCATCGACGCCTCCGACGCCGACTCAGAGGAAAACCACCACCACCACTGCTCCGACTCCGAACAAACGGATAAAGACGAAGAAGCAAATCGGTTCGATAGGCTTATCATCGGGCCCGCTTCATTTTCCCCTTCGATCCCTCCGCCGGTGGCCGATCCGATCCCCGCCCAACGTCGTCGCCGCCCCCATCTCGTCCGATTTGTGGATGTGGGTCTCAATCTCAAACTCCGTAGCGATTGGGACGACGGCAGCGATGAGGATGAGGGTCATGGTGAGGAGGAGGAGGAGGAGGAGGATGGGTATGGATTAGACGACGAGCTGGTGCCGTGGTCGGTGAGCGACAAGTTCGGGCGGCAGAGGATGAGGAAATTGGGGAAGAGGATGATTCCGAAGACGAACAATTCGAAGCGGTCTCCGTACATGGTTGCGAGGCCTGGCTGCGTTCGCGGGAAGCATGGCCTGGGATTGAAGCATATTTACTGACAAAGATTGGAGCTTTGGAGATTTGGGTATCTTTTTATAACTGGGATTAGATGTATTTAATTTAATATGTTAATTTGGTAAATATGGGGGGTTTGGTTTTATGTTGATTCTGTGTCTCTGTCCGACTTATGATGTTTCATCATCATTTAAGAATATAATATATTTTGTTGATGACGTTACTGTCTGTCTATGTTTTGTTATTTGTTCTACATTGGTTCTTTGTCTCTGTGCTTTGTCTTTTTTATGTTTTTCTGGAACTGGTTTGGTTGAGGTTAAAGTTTTGCCTGCTTGTGATGGATGTTGAGGTAATTAGGGAAGGGAAATGGAAATTTTGAAGGGCAACTATTTGGAATTGGGGTCCATTTGTGATGCAATTGCTGCCTTACATTTGATCAGTCTGATAGTTGATGAATATATCCGTTCCTACTCCGGAGCACCTTAGAATTTTCGATCCTCGACTTTACTCTATGATTTATGATTGAATTCTGATTTTCTTTTTCGTAGAATTTTGAAGTTTTGTTGGATTAGATTGATGTAGTTGTCCCTTCATCTTTGGCTTTAGAATTAATCAGAAAGAATACTGCGCCTTGAAGAATACTTCAGATGAAATTGCAAGTTTTCCCTTCATCTGTGATACGAGTGTCTAAGCTGTTAGATTTTGATTTCCACAAGTGCTAGATCTTCTATTTTTAATTTCAGCATCACACATTGTTACGTACCAGTGAAGGAAACTTGCAATAGTTGGCATTCCCCTTTGTACATTTGTGAATTCAGGCTACCAGTCATCAACATTTCTGGAATTTATGGTTCCATGTCCACATAGCAGTACAAGGAAATCCAAGTGTCAAATGCAAATTATCGTACATTATCAAGTGCATTTATGTTCCTTCTACAGGCTAGAGGACTGCGTTCCTCCTCTGCATCCAAGTTCAAATCCTGCATTTCGTATTACAATAGATTAAGATATCGCTACAATCTACACCATTCACCAGTTTTTTGTTTTGCTTGGTTTATCCTTTTGTTTTAACGGGAAATTCTTTGTCGCACATTTTTCTTCATGAAATCCAATACTTTTTCAAGACCAGTGAAGCTTGTTGGGCCTTTGAAGGATGCTTATTTATGATCAATTCCGGAAGCTGTATTGTTGCTCGTTCGATACCCAAACATGCCCTTACATGTTTTGGACTAGTTTCAGAGGATGGCCTTTTGTGGTTAAATTCATGATAATGATTTAAAGCCCCAACCAACCAAAGCATCACTTTTATCGAAAGTAAAAGTCGTCTTTCTTGAAAATCTCGCATCGATAAAACAAAAAGAAAATTAATGAAAAGGGTTTAAAAACTTTGAATTTTAACCTAACAATTTACTGACCTCAATTCAATCTTCCAATCTTTGGTGTCTTGCTATTTCATTTGAGCCCATGCCATTCATTTTTGTTTGAATCTGAGAGAGAAAGAGAAGTGAAGGGAGAGGAAGAAGAACCGTGTCTGAATCCTCCTCTTCCGTGCTCCGTCGCCCCAACCGTCACCACCTTCGGCGTCTCACCCGCTCTCAATCATCATCAGGTACTACTCTCACTCATCTCCTCATTATCTCCGTCCATTGACGTCGAGTAGAACTGCATCAGCGTCTACAACAACGTCGCTGGAGTTCCTGTTGAGATTCACCAGGAGGAGAGGGTCTACATCCTGGAGTTGAACTTCGGACATCTCCTGACTAGTAGCAATTACTATGATACGGTGAAGAAGACCACCGATGGACGCAACGGCTACGGCCCCAAGCTTACGAACATCTTCTCCACCAAGTTCATCATCAAGACGACGGACGTATAAGCAGGTATAAAATTGTGGATTCTCTAATTTCTGTGATATTTGATTTGTGTTTAGGGTTTTAGTGTTTTGTGGAATTTAGGAATTAGCATTTGGTCTTCTATTTTAGGGTTTGATGTGTATAAAATTGTGTATATTACGGTTTCGATGTTTGGTGGAATTGCAGAATTAGGATTTGGTCTTCTGTTTGTGGCTGTTTTGGTCTTCTGTTTGTGATTGTTCGTTTGATGTAATTTTGTTTTGTAACCTGTGATTTATTGAGGATTACTATGACTAATTTTTCAATGGGTTTGAAATGGATTTCCGAATTTCGATTGACCAAATATTGCAGATGGAGGTATACATGTATCTACCTATATGGGTTTGAAATGGATTTCTAATCGATGAGAGTTGATGTATACATGTACTCTACCAATAAAATTCACATTCTTTCCCAAATGCTCTTCAATTCACAACATTCGCTGGCATGCTTGTGTAAGTTTTTATAAAGTGATTGCAGTGATGGTAGTTTAGAATGGTTACAACAACAACAACAACAACAACAACAAAGCCTTTTCCCACTAAGTGGGGTCGGCTATATGAATCCTAGAACGCCATTGCGCTCGGTTTTGTGTCATGTCCTCCGTTAGATCCAAGTACTCAAGTCTTTTCTTAGGGTCTCTTCCAAAGTTTTCCTAGGTCTTCCTCTACCCCTTCGGCCCTGAACCTCTGTCCCGTAGTCACATTTTCGAACCGGAGCGTCAGTAGGCCTTCTTTGCACATGTCCAAACCACCGGAACCGATTTTCTCTCATATTTCCTTCAATTTTGGCTACTCCTACTTTACCTCGGATATCCTCATTCCCAATCTTATCCTTTATCGTGTGCCCATACATCCCACGAAGCATCCTCATCTCCGCTACAACACCCATTTTGTGTACGTGTTGATGCTTCACCGCCCAACATTCTGTGCCATACAACATCGCTGGCCTTATTGCCGTCCTATAAAATTTTCCCTTGAGCTTCAGTGGCCTACGACGGTCACACAACACGCCGGATGCACTCTTACACTTCATCCATCCAGCTTGTATTCTATGATTGAGATCTCCATCTAATTCTCCGTTCTCTTGCAAGATAGATCCTAGGTAGCGAAAACGGTCACTTTTTGTGATCTTCGCTAGATTGCTCCGGTCATTAGTATGGATAAGTATATAAATGGATAGAGATAGGAAAGCAAACACAAGATGTACGTGGTTCACCCAGATTGGCTACGTCCACGGAATAGAGGAGTTCTCATTAATTGTGAAGGGTTTACACAAGTACATAGGTTCAAGCTCTCCTTTAGTGAGTACAAGTGAATGATTTAGTACAAATGACATTAGGAAATATTGTAGGAGAATGATCTCGTAACCACGAAACTTCTAAGTACCGGAGTGTGGTATCGTCTTGACTTGCCTTATCTGTCTCATAGGTAGATGTGGCATCTTCTCTGGAAGTACTCTTCCTCCATCCAGGGGTGGTATCTGTAACTGGTGGAGATGCACAAGGTAATGTATCAATTTCACTTGAAGCTTACTTGTAGTTTCAGGCTTGGTCAAGCGCGATACAAACCATGTAGTAGGAGTCCCCCAAGTCGCCGGGCTAGGGGATCTGCTGAAAGAGGTGACAGACAAGGTAAGCAATCAGAGCTCCGGCTGATTGTTCACATTCTCCCTATCTTGCAGGCAGCATGAAGGATAAAGAGAAGAAAAATGAGAAGAGATGATATGGGATACTTTTGCTTTTGAAGAAGTAACTTTCCACAGGCTTATTCTTGAACCGGGCTGGAGGGTTTTTCTGGTTTCCTCCAGAGTATAAGGCCGACTGAAGAATTTGAGGGTCAAAACAAGTCCATCAAATCTAGAGTACGTTCGACCCTGCTGATATGGGATACTTTTGCTTTTGACAGAGTAGTGGATGTATCGGCACGTGTGCTGTTACGCTTGTCTCCACATGCTTCCTTGTATCCTTCTCACTTGCCCTATCTGTTCCTCAGGCAGATGCGGTATCTTCCCTGGAAGCATAAGATGTTGAAGATGAGTACTCGAGAGCAATGCCAGGTAAGTAATCAGGTAAGGGGTTCCAGGCAGTCAGTTCCTGGCTGGAAGCTTGATTCCAAGTGCTGACTGATTGCTCTCTTTCTCCTTGTCTTGCAGGTAAGAACAAGGCCAAAGGAAAAGACAGGGAAAAAGCATGATATGGGATACTCTTGCTTTTAACCCTGATGATATGAGATATTCTTGCTCTAGTATAGCTTGTTTACAAAGGTATTATCGGGGGGAAAGAAAGCTGAATATTTCGAAAGGCTTCGTTGGGAGTGCCCTCTCAGATAAGAGAAAGGGTTGAGCATTTTTGCAGGTCTGCCTGTCCGTTAGGGATGGAGGTCGACATATATAGGAGTCTCCCTAACATCAAGTAATAATGCTATTCCTTTACCCTGCTTGGTCATAGCACGGTAGTGGGAGCTGCCAGCTTCACATGTTTTAACTCTGTCAGAGCACTTTGAAAAAGTGGTCTGTGGTATCTGGAAAGCTGATGTTGCGTGTGAAGATTACAGACAAGCTTTATCCAAGGAGATCCAGCTCTTGAAGTTGGGAAAGTGGTGCCTCTTCGGTTTTTCGAACAAGCAATCCTGTCGGGGATCTGGCTCTCGAGATTCGGAGAACGATGCCTCTTCGATTTTTTGAGAAAGCAATCCTGCTGGGGGTTTGGCTCTCGAGATTCGGAGAGCGGTGTCTCTTCGATTTTTGAGAAAGTAATCATGTTAGGAGTCTGGCTCTCGAGATTCGGAGGGCGGTGCCTCTTCGATTTTGGAGCAAGCAATCTTGTTGGGAGTGTTTTCTCGAATGTGAGTAAAGGTTGGGCATGTTTGCTAGTCTACCTTGCCACGAAGCACAGAGGTGGACACACAGGGACTTTCCAATTATCCAGCAGTGGTACTGTTCCTTTACCTTCTCTTCGATTTTTGAGAAAGTAATCATGTTGGGAGTCTGGCTCTCGAGATTCGGAGGGCGGTGCCTCTTCGATTTTGGAGCAAGCAATCTTGTTGGGAGTGTTTTCTCGAATGTGAGTAAAGGTTGGGCATGTTTGCTAGTCTAGCTTGCCACGAAGCACAAAAGTTGACACACAGGGACTTTCCAATTATCCAGCAGTGGTACTGTTCCTTTACCCTCTCTTCGATTTTTGATAAAGTAATCATGTTGGGAGTTTGGCTCTTGAGATTCGGAGGGCGGTGCCTCTTCGATTTTGGAGCAAGCAATCCTGTTGTGAGTGTTTTCTCGAATGTGAGTAAAGGTTGGCATGTTTGCTAGTCTACCTTGCCACGAAGCACAGAGGTTGACACACCGGGACTTTCCAATTATC